GTAGTGTGGGGAGACAGCAGGTGCTGAATTGTTGGGGTGGTGGGGAGATGGAAGGAGCCACTGAGCCCCAGAATACCCCATGTTGAGCTGGGCCCCAAGGGAGGGTGGCACCCACAGGGCTGGGGGGAGCCCTGTGCCATGAGCACCCAGAGCCACCCACGCCAGCACGGGGGCGTTGGAGGTGCAAGAAGTTGGTGCAGAGGAGACCCAAGAGGATTTGCCAGAAAAATCCACAATCGAGGGTCAAGAGCCTGGAAAGCAGACGAGGCTGCGGGCGGGTGCACACGCACAAACACAAACACACGCGTGCGTGCGGCCCCGTGCCCCTGTTAATCCCGGCTCCACCGAGACGTCGAGATTGCTTGGGAGCTGGGGCTTCCTGCCGCTGCAGGCCCTGGCCCCCTCCCGTAATCTATATGCAAGCAATTCCCATACAGACTCTGATTAAAAGAATAATCCCTGGCTGCGCAGAGCCCAGAGGGGCCAGGCTGCGTGCAGGGGGCTCTGAGGGCCACAGCTCCCAGGCACCCCCAGGCCTTTTCCTGTGCTTTGCCTTGTCAGGCCCCAAGCGAGAGATAGGCCTAATTTGAGCCCAGAGGCTTAAAGATGCTGTTGAACTAATTTCTTTGGTTTAATCAAAAAGCCCAAATCCGGGTGGTTTATCTGGCTGTGCCCAGCATCCCTGCCTGGGGGCGAGTGGCTGGAGCGGGGCTGTGTTGGGGCTGGGGTTTCATCCTCCGGCACATGGACATGTCCTGTCCTGTCCCCTGTCACCGCAAGGGACAGCTCAAAGGGACCCCACATCCGGGGCTGAGCGCAGGCTGTGGGGGGCACAGCCGCCCCTTGGGGGCTGCTCTCCCCACTCCAGCGATGCTGGAGGAGATTGACCCCATGGGGACTTCATCTGCGCTGTGCGGTGGGAAGCAAGACCCGTGCTGGGATGGAGGGAGGCTGTTGTCTCCTCTTCAGGAGGAGACCCCCCCAGCTGCTGTCCCATCTCCACTGGGAGAGCACAGTGCCATGGGCCACCCCACTGCCAGGTCACCCCACTGCTGGGCCACCCCTTGCCGTGCTGCTCTCAACCTCGGTGGAGTCTGGGGGGCTTCTGGCCATGGGTCCTGGGTGGCAGACGGGGGTTAAACGTCCCTCAGGTGCTTCAGCTCCTTCTGCAGCTTCTCTGTGAGCTTCTTGAAGGACGGTCGCTTGCCCGGCTCCAGCTCCCAGCAGCTCTTCATCAGGGTGTAGACGGAGGGTGGGCAGCCCTCGGGGGGCTCCATGCGGTACCCCTGCTCCAGCAGCTCCGTCACCTCCTTCAGACTCTGGCAGGATGGAGAAACCAGCTGGGACCCCGCTTTCTTCACCCCACCAGGGGCTCGCCCTGGTCAGGGGACTGTGGGATGTCCCCCGGGTGC